CGGACACCGTCCCCTCGCTCCACCTCCTGGACAGGGGTTCGCCTCCTCCTCCTCCTCCTCCTCGTTTTCCTCCTCCTCCTCCTCCCCTTTCTTCCTTGGGCGCTCCGCAGCCTTCTCTCCTGCTGCGCCCTCCCTCTCCCCGCGCGGGTCCTCGCGTCGCGCTCGGTGTCACGTTACTACCTTGCGCGGGGCGAGAGGGGGCGATTATCCCCAACAAGGAAGAAAGTTTCTGGGTGTTTTTGTGTGTTTTGTTTTGTTTTTTCGTTTTGCTTCTTCTTCCTCCTTCCCCTTCTCTACCATCTGGCCTCAGTTCCTGCGCCACCAGCGACCTCTTGGGGCCCGTTGGCTTCCCTCTAGTCAGCAGCCCCGGGCAGGGAGAGGCATCAGAGTTTACTGTATTTGTGTTTTCATTTCAGAAACTTGGTTATCCTTGTGTACCCCGAGCAAGCTGTTTACAAAAGGCCGATAAAGGGCCCTCGGAACAGGTCCAAGACTTAGCCGAGATGGCAAACAGCAAGTCGGCGGAGACACATGACTGGACTTGCTCCGCGGGGCCAGGCTCAGCGCCCCGCTGCTGGAGAAAGCTGGGGACGCTTTCTTCTTCCTGGTTCTGAACTATATTGAGCGACCGGAGAGGCGGCGGTGGAGAACATAGCCAACGCTGGGCCTTTCTCTAGAAGATAGGAAGGGGGAAAGAGCCCTGTCTCGGTGCATACCTACTTCATCGCTGCCTCTCTTCCCTCGCTGGGCAAACTTCTGGAACTGAGAACCTGCTGAGCTTCACAGACGCACAACCTCCGGTGCGGTGAGATATTCACCATAGGGCTACTCTCATCAGCCACAACCTCAATTGAGAAACTTTTACCACTGTGGGTAAAAGCTGTGTCACCTGAGGCTTCTGTGACTTGCCCAAGGTCACAGAGCTGGGAGGAGTTAGATAGGGAGTTGCAGTTTGATGCCCCAGCCCACTACACTAACCATTGCATGGTACTGTCTCCACGCCAGAGCCCGCCTCAGTATTTGCATACAGTTGGAAGATGCCTTCCCACCAGTTTAACCCAGCTCACGCTGAGAAACTGAAACGTCAATTTTTGGTGCCTCTCTTCTCTGGCTCCCAGCTCGTTCTGCATTTTCCAGCCGAGTTTAAAAAAAGAGGAGCTGGGCCGGGGATTTAGCTCAGCGGTTCGGTGGCCTGCCTCGCAAGCGCAAGGACTTGAGCTCAATCCCCGGTACCAAAAAAAAAAAAAAAAAAAAAAAAAAAAGAAAGAGGAGCCAACAATATAAGACTTTAGTCCTAAAAAATCTGCGTAAATTTGGATATATGACGAATTTTCTCCAACAATTAGAGAACAGGATCCTGAGATCAAGACTTTACAATTAAATAGTCTGGTTTAAACGTGATCCCTGAATGAGGTCTCCATTTCTTGATTTGGAACATGCGTGAAGAAGACATATAGGTGACCAGATGGACGTGGTCATAAATGAAGTGGGCAGCTTGGCACGCGCCCACACTCAGAACTGCACAAGAAGCTCCTGACTATGTTTTTCCGGATGGTTTTCTGAGAGATAAGGAGGCTGTTTTGAGACCTCAAAAGAAGGAAGGCCTCTTTTTCCTATCACAAAAATCATGAATAGTATTAATAGTTTCACATTTATTTCCTGAAACAGACATTTACCTGGGTTAATGTGCACATTTTAGAAATGTGAATGTCCCTGAGAGAAGTAAGCCTGTCATCGCTCATTAACGTTAATTACATTAAGCAGTGCAATGAGGAGACCAGAACAGACTCCCAATTAATAGCTTTTGAGTTTATGAAGAGGGACTAGGCTATGGGACCAATTTTCATGCTTTACAGACCCCCTTTGACAAACTGGGCCTGTTCCTGAGGCCTGGCCTTGTGATCTGAATGCTCACAGGAGGGAAGAAGGATACAGGTATGCAAGGCCCTCTGTGTTCACAGGTCCCACCTAAGACACTTCTGTCAGCATACCCTGAGAAATACCCCATTCTTTCTCCTAAGGAAAGAAATCTGAGGAACAGGGGACTGGAGCCAGATAAAAAGAAACAAACATCTGAGAAAATAAATAAATATGAGAATAAAAGTTTTAAAGTACAGTGAAAAATGCAGTCTGGCTTAGAAGAAGCAAGCTGTGATGTGGGAGTTTTAAAAGGGGAAAAAGGTGAATTTTTGAAAGATTATGTTAATAGATTAGTTGCCTAGAAAAACTTCACAGAAGGAAAAAGAAAAGATATCAAGATACAAAGAAGTTTCACATGGGGAAAAAATGCTTTATATTTTCACCCAAGCCAAACAGATTCTTGGGCAAAACTTTGTTTCTTAAAGCCCCATAAATATCACTTTTGTTCTTTTTAATTTAAAATATTTATACTACTAAATAGAACCAGTTAATGAACCTATTAATTATAGGAATTTGTAAGCCACTTTCATTATTATTTTCATTATTATTTAATATGTTTTGTGCAATACCTTGACCTCCATCCAGTATCTTAGACTTCTCAGTTTATTCTCTCCCCAGTAACTTTTCCCCTTTCTCACCTGAGCCACTCAGCCCTGTCCTCAGGGAGTGCTTTGACCTGGCCTCACTGATGACAAACCAGGTCTCCTCCAAAGTCTCCTGTTCAGCCATTCAAGCCTTGGACCATCATCACACTGTACCCTTCTGCTTAGCTCCTCTAGGGCCCTCATTCCAGCAATTTTTCATCCTTTTCAAGAATCTTCAATTCTTTCATCCTTTGCCTATCTGATGTGTTGGCTTCCTTCTTCATCCAGTTTTGATTGCAGATACATCACTCTGATGCCTTCTTCTACTCATTCCCTTATTTCTCTCATCTTACAAGCTTGGGTATTTGCCAGGTTAAATTTGGGCTCTATTAAACCCAACTCTGCAACTGGACTGGATCATACAAAAACACACAGCATGGCCAAGTGACTTATGCTTAAAGGACACTCATCCCTGCCTGGAAACCCCACTCTCTACAATCACTATTTCACAGCTTTTCTCTCTTCATCTCTACCCTTGACATTAATCCCTTCAGTCCCCTCTGCTGGCTTTGTCACATAGATTATGGAGGATAAGAAGCAATAGGACAGGAGCTCACTTGGCTCCCCATCAGCCTATGACCAGGTTTTCTGCCTTGTTTTCCACTCTCACTGTGCCCTTGCTTTAGTCAAGGGTAACTCTGACACTTAGACACTAGGACTTGTTTCTACCCAATGCCAACCTCATGTCCCCCCAGCTTTCTGCATCTACCTGAAAAATAGCACTATAAGCCACTTGAGTCCACAACTTAATAGTCTTCCTTTGTTTTCTTTTTCCTTCACTCCTGTATCTAAACCACCTGCAAAATCTATAAGCCCTACGTTTTGTTATTTTTTTCCTCTGTATGAGGAATGAAACTCAGGACCTCATGCTTGTCAGGCGGGTGCTGTGCTGCTGGCCCTATAAGCCCTACTTTCAAAAACATCAGAAACTGACCACTTTGACACTATCTTCTCTCATCTGGATTATTGCTCTCAGTTACTTTTAGGTTTAGCTATATATAACTATTTTAAAAAATGTCAGTGGCTTATGTTCATTTCTCCCTCTTGTGAAGAGTCCACAAACAAGCAGTCCAGAGTTGTTGTGGTTTTCCATGCTATTATGGATCTGTCTGAGTTTTCTGTTCCACTATCCTCCGTGTGCAGCATCCATCCTAAAGATGGCTTTATGATCTGAGGTGGCCACTGGAGGACCAGCTATTATGTTTATGTTCTGCGTGGGCAGTGGGGGAAATGTGATGACCCCCTTAAATACAATAGGTTCTTTGTAAATTGTGTTACAAAAAGTACTAAAACTCTATCTTATTGCTTACTGGCCAGAGCTTTGTCTAGTTGTAATGGGGAAAGGGAGCTAGGAAATCCAGATTTTAGCTGGACACATGAAAAAAAGTTCAAGAGTGAGAGAAGAGAAAGAAGAGGAATAAGAAGAGGAAGAGGAGGAAGTGGCAGAGGGGAAGAAGAAAGAAGAAGTGGGGTGGAGGAAAGGAAGAGGAAGAAGAAACAAAATCAGATGTCTATTGTTTAAAAAAAAAGAAAGAAGCAGATGGCTCTTCAGGGATATCCATCAGTTTGTATTATTCCTTCTAACTTCTCTTCTTAGTCACAGCCTTCCAACCCCTCATCCTCATACCAAGAATGGAACCCAGAGGTGCTCTACCACTGAGCTACATCCCCAGTCACTTTTTGAAAATTCTGTTTTATTAGTACATTTTGGTAAGGCGTGCATACTGATTGCACTCACCGTGGGAACCAGGTACATGTACACAACACATCTTAATTCTTTATGTTTTCCTTTCTGCTCCCTTCCTTCCCTGTCTATTTGTCACAAGATCCCCAGCCATTTGTTTTTTTGTGGGGTTTTTTTGTTTGTTTGTTTCTTTGCTTTTTGTTTTTTTGTTTGTTTTTTGTTTTTGGTACCTGGGATGGAACTCGGGTCCTTGCGCTTGCAAGGCAGGCCACCGAACCGCTGAGCTAAATCCCCAGCCATTTGTATTTTTGAGACATGGTCT